CTCTTACATTTGCTACGAATGACAGAACATCAGTATGGACCATTTCTTCCATCCCTAAACTGGCTATGCTTGTTTGCTTTCGCAAGTCACACAGCTTCATCTCTTTATTATGGAGATGTTATTGATCTTCAAACTTCCAGCCATGGCTTTGAAACACATAAATGACACCAATTGTGTAGAAAAGGAAGAAAAAAAGGGGGGGAGGGTGGCGGCAAAACCAGCCTTTGTTGGTAGGTGCATGGCAATTTTTTCTTTCTGTCCTGCCATGGCATTAACTGGCTGATGTACAAGGACTGCAGAGGCGGGAGTGTTTGAAGAGTAGTTGCAATCAGGCGGTGTTCAGGACAGAAGAGTTGGGCCCTCGCTGGCGAAATCCTCTTTTCTTCACGGGCCAGAATTGCAACAGACCGCCCGATGACGCATTCCCTTCTTTGTTCTCAGGGAGATCTCAGATAAACCACCCCTATCAGCTGGAAGCATCACCTTTTAAATAATGCTTTCAGGATGCTGGTCTTAGCCTTCAGCCCGCAGTCAGAAAATAACTGGTTGACTTCCAAATGAGGAACATTAAGAGCCCAAATGGAGATGGAAAGATACTCTGGTACTCTCTCGAGTTCACTTGGACTGTAGCCTGGAGATATGCAGAGCTGGGAGGTGGCACGTAAAGCAAGTCATCTCCCTGCCCTTCCAAACTGAGATTGCCCTCTGGTTAGCAATAAAAGTCCTCTTAACTCATCCCCTGCTGCTTCCCCCCTCCCCAAATCCCTCCGCTTTAAAGAATCCTGGTCACAATCACTCTTTTTTTTTTTCATTTGCTAAAGGCCTTTTGAAGACAAGACCTTCATCCAACTGACACTTCACAGGCATCATTTCTCATTTTTATAGCTTCTGAAATTTGGGAGGGGATGGCTAATTCTGACCTCAGCTCTGGTATCTCTGTCCCCCCACTCTCCCACATGTAGTTTCTGGAGTTTCCAGGTCATGCCACGTAGATACCAAGGAATGGTTTTTCTAGAGCAGGGAGCCTTGGCAGGCTTCCTTACTTGGCATGAAAAGCTCTGGTGGAGACTACAAACACGAGCTCATTCCAGTCTTGAAATCAGCCTGCAAGCTCTTCAGGGAGGGGGTAGCTGAAGCAACTTAATGTGTCTGCACCAGGAGGACCTGGTGTACTCAAGCAATGCAACCAAAGGCATACATTAACCTGGGACAGAATGTACGGCTCGAATAACAGAGCAACCTGGGGACACCATATGCTATGAACACTAGGAAAGCTAAGCAGGTATTCTGACTGAACACGGCCCAGAAGACTCGGCCTCATGTGCAGAGATCCTTGGAGGCTGAGGAGGACATTCTAAAAAGAAAAGCACAAACCAGTGAGGAAATCACGAAACAGGCACCGCATCATCCCATGCAGTGCATCTGTCTGCTAATCCAGGTGGTAAAGGAGACCTGGATTCAGCTCTTTCTCAACCACACGGTTCTCTTGTTAGCCTACTAAGGAACACCAAGCATCCTTGTTGTAAAAATCATTCAAAATAATCCTATTGTACCTGGTGCTCTCCAGATTTATGGAACACCCGTGTCCATCTCTCGTGCTCGGAAGGATAGCAGTCTTGATAAACACAACTCAAAGGCTCCAAATTGGGCAAGATTGCTACCCAGAACATCTACCTAAACCAAAGCTATGTATCAGCATTGTCATTTAACCAGAAAATATTTGGGAGAGGCGAGGAGTAACACATGGCAGGCTGCAGAGGGAGTCCATTTCCTTTCAATTTTAGTAGTTTTCTTAACAGCCAGTAATGAGCCATCTCAACTATCCTATAATGACCCCATAATCCCCCCTGTGGAGTGGAATCTGGGCAACTGAATGGAGCTGAGTGTTTACTGGCCAGATGCCCTTCCTGTCACCAATGCAGACTTTTTTTTCCCCAGCAGATATATCCTCAGTATGCCCAAAGAGAGAAATATCTGCCTCTACCTAGGATTGAACTCACACAGCCTCCTGATTGTGAGGTGAAAACTCCACCTCTAGGCCACCACACCATTCGATGAACCACCTGACCTATAGTGCCAGAATAATGTCAATAAAGCATGGTTTGAGTCTTCTTTTTTTTAAAAAAGCAAAAATTCTAAGCCATCTCACTATTTTATCATTTTTAGAAAGCACTCCCCAGAAAAAGAACAGTGTTTTTGACCAGTGATACCATTGCATTGGGTGTATGTGTGTGTGTGTGTGTGTTTAAATACAGTCCTAAATTCTAGAAAAGGCTGTTTGCTGCTGCCACAGTCATTCGTCATCTCTAAGCAAATATAGTAGGATCATTTCAAGTGACAACTTGCAGGTTACATTCTTAGGCCTGGATGATTACACAAAAATAGAAAAAGTAGCTCTGAACCATTGCACAGGACAAGTAGCAAGATACTTTTTAATGGATAAAAGTGGTCAGGGTTACAAAAATGTCTTACAGGAGAAGTAAGGTTGCCATCTATGCCCCCTCATCTTCTATCTAAAGGATTATTATGGGGAGAGTGCAAAGTTATTGAAGACTCTTACAGAGAATGAATAAGTCCTTTTCAGAAATCCTCTTTAGACTTCGTTACGCATAATATATATGAAACTGCCATAAGGTAGTCTCCTTCTTCTATAAAGCCCACTCAATACCCACTCACAAAATAATGGGATAATACTAAGAATGTGCTCAAATCAACGATGGTTCTCCGTTTGCTGATTGCCTTGTCATCTTCTGGGCTCTGGAAAAGATCTTGTCTGTAGTACCCCCAATGCCCCAAGGAACTTATGCTTGGGTGGGGGGTAGAGCAAGGACAAGTGGAAGACGTGATATAGCAGAAGCACAGGTGCAAGTAAAGCAAACAGTGGTTCTACCAGTGATTGGGACCAGAGCCTAACCAGCTCCAACATTATCCTTGGTTACGCAAGACCACAAAAGATCATTTTTATGAGGTTAATTTTTTCTCTCCCTTTTTGCCTAGCCTGGAATTAGGGCCGAAACAAAATCGTGCAAAATAACTGATTATTATTATTTTTTTAAAGCTATCCTCAACCAGAAATTGGGAACCTTTATCTGAGGAGGCCAGATAAAATGATTTCAGCGGGTGTGCCTCAACTATCTAGCCAAAATGAAGTCCTCTCAAAAAGTGCCAAGAAATTTCAGCAGATAAAATCTTGTTATTCGGTTGGATGGAAAAAAAACATCCGAGAACGATATATATATAATCTACTAAACTCTTGGTGGGGATAGATATAAGTAGAAACAACAATATACAGACTAGGATTGTGCCAGAACTCTGAAATTTGGAACAATTCACATCATACAAAATGAACTTCACATACATTTTCGGGTGTTTTTACAACCTGCTCACTTTGGATATAGCAAACTTAAGTTTCTGACTATTTCATTCCTTCATTTGTTCAGTTTTAAGTTAAAATCAATAGTATTTCTCTCTCTCTTCCACCCCCACCCCGTCCCCATCCCTGGTGCTCTTTCCTCTATTGCTACACTAATCTCAATATATACGTTGAAAGCAGTTATGAAAGCAAGGGGAAGCCTAGCATACTGAATATACCAGTTTACCCTAAGAGCATGTGTATATAAACACACACACACACACACACACACACACACACACACACACGCACGCACAGGCTGCAGAGGGAGCTCAAGTAGACCAGTGGGCGAGCAAAGGCTCACTTGATGCAATGAAGCTCGCTAAAGGACAAGAGAGGTTACAGCTCTTTCCTCTCTCCTTTCTTGCTCGTTGTATTATTATCAATCTCTCTCTCTCTCAATATATTTCTGTTTTATCAGACACAAGACCCAGAGGCTCAGCCTCAACTGCTCAGTCTCGACTGCTTCCAAAGATCTGCAGGAGAAAAGAAAATATGTAGATGATGTCCAGGTATATGTTGAGGGCTCCAAAGATATACTCCTCTGGACTCATGGCATAGCGACGGTTGCCCATCAGGAGCTGGGTATCAAAAGCCAGGAACTAAGGAGAAAAAAGAAGACACGGGCAGTGATTAAAATGCAATCTTTGGGTGTCCAAGGCATTGGATGGAGAACACTGTAATGTTGTTCGTTCCCCAATCCTTACTCCCCAATCCCATAATTTAAGTAAGAAGGAAAGAGTTGGCAGAGATGTATGAAAAAAAAGATGTGTGCAAAACCTATCGTCCTATGCCTGGATGTTCCCAGATTCTTCTCTTAGAAGTGCAGCTAGATTTGCATCTGTGAATATTCAACTTCTTCTACCCAACTCTGCTCTTCACTATGAAGGTTCCCTTGGCTTGGCTTATAAATTGAGGATCTTCTCCAGTCATAGGCCAGCTGGAGCTCCAGTTGCAGTCAGTGACAGAGCAAGAATATGAAAAAAGAATCATCCTGTCCAGCAGATGTGTCCTGATTTCCTCTAGCCTTGTTGAACTTGGCTTAGCTTTATTGTGGTTTGTCGAAACAAGCCGTAGTGGCTAGGTTCCCACAATATGCTAAATAAAATTAAGCCACGCACTATGACTGATGGATATTTATTGGTAGGACAGAATTTAAATATTAAAATTTAAAAATGGATAGGCTATTCACTAGATTTGAATCCTAACTTTTCTTTGGGATCCCAGCTGGGCTGGGAACTTCTACTGTTCTTCTGCTTTTCCTTGCAATAAGCTTATGAGGTCTGGAAGTCTCTCTTGCTTTTCCAGTAGTTTGCCAAAGTGGCATAAAGTTGACTGGTGAGGATTCATCTGGGATAGATTAAAATTCAAGCTAGAAATGAATCTATGGGTTATATTTTACGCATTATTGTCACATCCATACAAGCTTCATGAAATGGCGCTTTTGGTTCTGCAACTACAAATGAAGTGGTATTAATCATGTCAAACTTAAGATGATTTCAATTTCAGACACTGAATGCTGCCTTTTTTTTTTTTCAGGTTTTGATCCGTTTAAGTCAGCTTTGATTCCTACCAACTGCCAGGCTGCATTCCTGAGTTTTCTTGGCAAGATTTGGGGAGTGGTTTGTTTGCCTTTACCTGCCTGTTAGAGATGAGACAGAGGGACTGGCCCTAGGTCACTTTTGTGCCTAAGATAGGACTAGTAGGTAGGACTAGAATTCACAATCCTCCAATTCCCAACCTGGTGTCTTAACCCAAATACCAACGAGCCACAATGGTGCAGTGGTTAGAGTGCAGTACCACAGGCTACTTTTGCTGACTGCCAGCTGACTGCAATTTGGCAGTTCGATTCTCACCAGGCTCAAGCTTGACTCAGCCTTCCATCCTTCTGAGTCAGGTAAAATGGGGACCCAGAATATTGGGGGCAACATGCTGACTCTGTAAACCACTTAGAGAGGGCTGTGAAAGCACTGTGAAGTGGTATATAAGTCTAAGTTCTATTGCTACTGCTATCAAACGGCTGCAAAAGCAAGCCATGGCAATTGTTGATGCTGTTTCCCCCTTGTTGCTGCTTTATCCCAGATGATATATGAGGCAGCCTTAAGTCCAAATTGTATTTTAACATCATTCCAATACCAAACCTCAAGCTAATTTTCTATTATTATTATTATTATTATTATTATTATTATTATATACAAAAATGACAGTATACACAGCAAACGAGATAACCATGCTGGGTTTCGTATCACAAATCACTAGTCGAACGCTTTCCAAGTGTTTAGAACTGCGTGATGTATCAGCGGATTATGCGAGCAGATCCCAGTAAGGTGGCCTTCTGCAGCTGACCAATGGTGATCTTGTCAGCGCCAATTGTTTTTAAGTGCTTGCCTAGGTCTTTAGTCACAGCACCCAGTGTGCTGATTACCACTGGAACCACCTGCACTGGTTTATGCCAGAGTCCCTGCAGTTCTATTCTCAAGTCCTGATACCTGGTTTCTTGTTTCTCATAGATTCTGCTGTCACCAGGTATGGCAATGTCGACGATCCACACTTTTTTCTTCTCCACCATCGTGATATCCAGGGTATTTGTGTTCCAAAACTTTGTCAATCTCTATTCAGAAGTCCCACATGCTCATTTTGCAAGCTCATTTTTGAGCACTTTTTCAGGCTTATGATCCCACCAGTTCTTTGCTACAGGTAGATGGTAGTTGTGAAACAAGTTCCAGTGGACCATCTGAGCAAGTGTGTTGTGATGTTGTTTGTAGTCAGTCTGAGTTATTGTCTGGCAACAGCTCAGTATGTGATCAATGGTTTCATCCAGGGGTGGGATTCAAATTTTTTAACAAACAGTTCTGTGGGCATGGCTTAGGTGGTGGCCGTAGTTTGGTGGTCATTTTATTGGCTGGGTTTGGCCAACTCAATATCACTCACATCAAGGCACGCATCTCCTCACCTGGCCTCTCATGATTGTGGGGATGCTACAACAGTCGTAAGTGTGAAAAATGGTCATAAGTCACTTTTTTCAGTGCCATTGTAACTTTGAACACAAAGTTACTCCACACAAGCAATGTACCAGCAAAGGAGGGGAAAAAACTCCAGATAAGTTCCTGAGACAGGAATTCTAGTCCTGCCAAGATTGTAATAAGGGTTAATGGAGAGGCAGTTTCTGTAAGCAACACCAGAATGTTTCCTTCCTACCTTCCTTACAGGATTAGGCCAGGAATTTCTTCTAACAACTGGTTCTCCAAACTGCTTAGTTTGTTAACAACCGGTTCTAGTGAATAGGTGAAAACTGGTAGAATCCCACCCCTGGTTTCATCATTCTTTGCAGAGTCTGCATTTGGGGTCATCAGCAGACTTTTCTATTCTGGCTTGCTTTGATTACATTCGTTCTGATGGCTTGTTCTTGGGCTGCAAAAATCAGGCCTTCTGTTTCTTTCTTCAGTGTTCCGTTGGTCAGCCATAATCAGGTCTTTTCCCTATCTACTTTTCCTTGGATCTTTTCCAAGAACTGTCCATGCAATGCTTTGTTACACCAGCTGTCAGCCCGAGTTTGCATTGCTGTTTTTCTATATTGATTCTTGGTTTGCTGCACTTTGAGCAGCTTCCTCTTGTTGACCTCCATCAAAGCTGGTTGAACACTGTCTTTCACATAATCTGCCAGAGCATGCTTCTCTTCTTCGACTGTCTGCTTCACTTGCGAAAGTCCTCTGCCACCTGCTTTTCTGGGCAAATATCGTTATTGATCAGCTAATCATAATTCACTAATCATAAAACACCCCACGGGATGCCACCTTGACATGGTGGGGGGCTTAACTGTTCCAATGAAGCTGAGAGCTGTACTGGCGGTAGTGCAAACTACCAGCAGGTCCAACCATGTCAGAGAGGTCTAGGCCAAGGAGCAGAACTGGGTGCACCCAACAACCCATGCAATGAATCATGGTGAAACACAACTGAACGAAGCCAAGACCAGCTCGGTCGTCGCCCGGGTTAACAAGGACCGCATTGGGTGTTGGGGAACCTGGGCATCGGTCAACAAATGGGCTACAGGCCATAGGTCCCATAGCTGAGCAACCAGGACATGGGCCTACAGGGCTACTGGAAGCTGAACAACCTCAGAAGCGGCAGAAATACACCATGTCAGAGAACCGCACTGTAATGAAATGCTACCACAAAGCAGAACCAGAAAAATGAGGCTACCAAAAAAGGATGTACAAGTTATGGAAACAAGAATATCCAGACTCAAGGATAACTAAATTATGATTAGCCGATCAATGACGATTCATCACTCAAAACAAAGCGCTCAGTGAATTCGAACTTGAAGAAATACCGAATAATAATAATAATAATAATAATAATAATAATAATAATAATAATATCCATCTCTTTGCTTTAGGATTGTTTCCTAAAATCCTCATTAAAGAAGCAGGACTCGCCATTCATATTTGTGGATTCATGCCATGAGCAACCCTGGGTTATCAAAGGTACAAAGTGACATGATCAGAAAGCAAGGAGAACAGCCTTTCTTTGTTTGGAATTGGAAATGGTAAGCTGGTTTATTCCAGTATTGTTGACAGGGTTACAGAAATAGGCCAGATAACCTTGTTGGCTTAAGGCACTGGCTGATATGTGTATATCTCTCCTATCGCTGAGTATTTGCGTAAGAACGACATTCAAAGGTCCAGAATCAGGAGCAGAGAAGATAAATGGAAACTGAGGGAGGGTTGGGGCCAAAAGAAGGAGAAAACCTTTTGATAGCTCAGAGAAATGCCCAGAGAACTCCACAGAAAGATTTTTTCAGGAACCCTGACAAAAAGAGAGAAATGTTCTAGCACATAGAAGGCACCTATTCTCAAATTAAGGAGGTTCATTTCCATCAGATGGATTACTGAACAAAGAAATAGGGCTGCCAACTGGTGAGCTGAAAACATTGCTGACCCAATGGGCTGGATCTGGCCTTAGAATCTGGACAGGAAAATGGTACATGAAAGAAGATCTGATGTGAGGCCAGCCTACAACATGCCTCAACTGCCTCACTGCCCTCCTTTTTTTAAAAAAAAATCTTTCTCTATGTGGCATCTCTCAGCATGGCAGAGCCCAGAATAGGGAAGGAGCAAAATCTATACAGCCAGTCTTCTCCCACGAATGTACTTGTTATCCATCCCTTCAATACAAGTATGTGGCTTACAAGCTTCTAGCATGTGCCTTTTTAAAAAGTTGATGGCTTTATTGAGACCATTCATTCATTCATTCAACCACCTGACAGTTTTAGTTCTTTTGCATCGGTGCAGAAATCTAAACAATAAAACATGACCAGGAGAGGAGTTTGGCTTTTTATGGGGATAAAAATCAGGCTGAGCATACTTTCCACCCATAGATTTGTATTTTGGGACTAACTAACTCGAAACTGATCACTGACACAATATACTTTCCACAATCCCCTTATGTCTATGGCACATTGTAGCCTATATTGTTTTAGCTTTCCTTGGCCTGCAATATTTCGGGATGCTTCACTCTGCTTAAGATTCTTAAACTGAAGAAGGGCATTATCCAAGGACTTCATCTTCCATTTGAAGGCAGTCAAGGAATGATGAAAACATTTTACCTAATTTCTATAAGATGATTGTGATATCATACAAGGGACACACAGATCTCACTACTTTAACCCAAATATGGGCAGGCTTTATTCTTTATTCTTTATTCTTAAGTCCCGAAGGTGCTTAGGGGCATTTGATATCCCTAGGGTTGAAGATTTATGGAGACTCTCAATCATCCAGGCCATGGTTGTCCCGAAGGTGCTTTTCCAAAAGGCAACTGGACTTTCTTTCTTTAAGTTGCTGACTTAAAGGACCGAAGAGCTGAAGAAGCTTCTTGGATGAGAAGTGAAATGTTTTCAAGGAAAAAACAAAGTCCAGTTGCCTTTTGAAAAAGCAACTTTGGGACAACCATGGCCTGGATGATTGAGAATCTCCATAAAGCTTCAACCCGAGGGATATCAAATGCCCCTAAGCCACATTTTTCAAGCTGCTAGAGCCTCTCAGAGAGCGTTCCCATCACTTTGAAGAAGTAACATGTTCATTAAATTAGGCTTCACTGTGTTTTTTTAAAAAAATTACTTGACAACCCAGCCACACCAGAACCTCCTGGTCTATGTGCATGATGTCACTCCAACCGCTTTGCATCCTCACCAAGCCCACTTTCACCCCTTTGCTGCCCCCCTCCCTCTGCAAAACTGCATACGGCCCACATCCATTGAAAAGACTCTGCTTGAACCTAGGCAACCCAAACAATGCTGACTTACCATTGTAAATACAACTGCACCCAGTACAGCATAAATGGCCTGGAGCCATGGTACCTGCAGAGAAAGAGACAGAGCTTTGGGGTCAACCTAATAAGGCAGAATTTAATGTAACCTATATGAGGACAGAAACATCCAAACGACTGCTGAAAGAAGGAAGGTTTGGTTGATTCCCAAATAATAATGAAGAAGAAGAATTCTTTATTGGCCAAGTGCGATTGGACACACACAAGGAATTTGCCTCCAGTACATTATCCCAAATAGAAATGTTTCTGGAAGAAGAGAAAGAACCAAGCGAGCCTTCTGGGTGAAAAATATAGGGAAGCAGATTCTAACCACTCCCTAAAGTGCTCCCAAAAGTAGGAGTCGTTCATTTGTGACCCTGGAGGTTTCTTCTCAAAATGGTTGCAAAGCTTTCCTTCACCAGCACAGCAAAGAGGGTTAGGGATGCTACAGTTTCTCCTGCACTGGATATTCTGCATTTAACGGGGGTTGAGGCCTTGATGGGACCATTACCTTTCTAGTCCTTCCGTTATTTTGCCTCTTGCAGGAAGTTGGGACCTCCTTATGGACTTGTGTGCTTGCAGAATACTACTGGTGGCCTTCTCATTCAAGCTAACGGGACAAATTAAGGCTACATCTTTCAGTATCTGGTCTCTACTATTTCTATCATTGTGTATCTTTCTCTGAGTATGTATATGTAATTAAGGAGCTTCTTTGCTTTCATATAGTGAGACTAATTAGAAAGCACCATTAAATTTGCTTTGGGCCTGAATAATTCAGACATGCAAGCGGTATTATTTTTCCCATTCTTGCCTCTGTTAATATTTAAGATGAATGTATGACTGGAATGTTATACATTATATAGCTGATAACATCTCATTTGTATATTATCGGGCCTCATGTAGATGACGAAAGCTTACATTCCCCTCAATCAGATTTTGAATAGTTATTGCTGTTTGGAACTACCATGTTCAAATAAGTGTGTGTGTGTTTGTAGGTTTGGGTGTGTGTGTGTGTGTGTGTGTTGTAGAAACCCTTTGTTGTTTTCTATAAGGATAGTAAAAAGGATCTACACAGATCACACGCTTTTATCAGCTTGTTGCACAGATAGGCAGCAACTGTAAATGGGAAATCACATGAGTGAAACTCCTTTATATAAAGAATCTTTCGAGCAAGATTTATTGTTTAAGGTCAAAGACCAAATAAAAATGCGACTTGCTACCTTTTTTTCAAAAAATCACATTAAGGAAGTAGGCAACTTTCTCTCTGTCACGCTAGTTCACTACATCTGTTTCTCAACCTCCATTCTTGAATGCATTCAAGCATACCATTCATCATCTTGTGATCGATTGGAACTAACTTCAGGTCATGATCTGCTCTAATCTGCAGACTGGCCCAAATTTACAGGTGTGATCAGGAAAAACAGCGAGAAAACAAGAATGTGCTGAAAGCCATTTGGAGAAGATGGAACATTGAAATGAAATTCTTTACGTACACGATTTTGTAAACCAGGGGTCCCCAAACTTTAAGACATGTGGACTTCAATTATGCTATGCTGGCTGGAGAATTCTGGGAGTTGAAATCCACAAGTCTTAAGGTTGCCAAGCTTGGAGACCTCTGTTGTAAACAAATCATTTTCACCATCTTCAACATTGCAGGAAAAGGAAGCAATGCATTTTTTATCTTTTAGCAGCCTTACCTATCAGAGTTTTAGGCTGTAGGCAAATTAAAACATGCAGAGGTCCAAGATCAGAGGGATTATCAGATACTCTGAGGACCAGGCTAAAAGCTATTGCTAACCCCCAGTTTGTCTGCTGCTTCCTCTGAGGGGTGGCACTTCTCCATACTTCTCTGTTTTAATTCTACCAAATGAAAAGGAACGCCGATCACGCTCAGTGGCTTGGATATGGTGAAAGGAGTTGGCAAAGGCTATTTCCAATCCATCAATATTTTTTTTTAATGGACATATTTGGGAAGAAGGAGAAGGAGAAGAAGAAAGAGAAGGAGAAGAAGAACTCGAAAATCCCAGCAATAAAATAATGTAATTCTTTTCTCCCATGCCCCGTCAGAAGCCTATGGGTGTATTTTTTATTTCCAATAATAGTGGACATTAGAAAATCCTCCCACTGTGGATGACGTGTATTGCTACTGCAAGAATGATAACAGCAGAAGATTGTGAATGGAAGTTCAAAATGGTTTCCAGTAGGAAACCATTAGCGATGAGAAATTATCTAGAGCAACAAAGTTAATGGGAAGCCCAGCCCAGCCAAAACCCAAGCAAACAAAGCACACCTATCAAAGGGCCCTCATTATGTAGGCCAGCAAAAAGATAAGCTTACCCCCCCCTCCCCTCTTCCATCAATATTTCTCAATACCTAGAAGGCTCCTGTGATAACAAATGGAAGAATGAAAACTGTTGATTAGGATGATTAGGGGACTGGAGACTAAAACATACGAAGAACGGTTACAGGAACTGGGCATGGCTAGTCTAGTAAAGAGAAAGACCAGGGGAGACATGATAGCGGTCTTCCAATATTTGAGGGGCTGCCATAGAGAGGAAGGGGTCAAGCTATTTTCTAAAGCGCCTGTAGGCCAGACAAGGAATAATGGATGGAAACTGAACAAGGAGAGATTTAATTTGGAAATAAGGAGAAACTTTCTGACAGTGAGAACAATCAACCAATGGAACAGCTTACCCTCGGAAGTTGTGGAAGCGCCATCAACTTGAGATTTTAAAGAAGAGAGTGAACTGCCATCTGTCAGAAATGGTGTAGGGTTTCCTGCTTGGGCGGGGGGTTGGACTAGATGACCTATAAGGTCCCTTCCAACTCTGATTATCTGTTATCTGTTGTTGGAGAGATGCTAACCTTCCTCCTTGCCTCCATTCTACCCATTTCTTTCCCTCTCACAATCAAAATTTTCCCCATGAGCAAGTTAAAACTAAACGCAACCCAATGGCAAAACCTGCTGCCCCCCAAAGTGATAACAAGGCCTGAAACACAGGTCACTGTTATGGCAAAACAAACTGAGATAAGGCTTAGGAGGAAATTACAGTTAGGACATTTAATCAATGGAACGGCTTGTTTCCGGATGTCATGGGTTCACCAGCACTTGAGATTGGACAACCCTTTGTCAGAAATGGTATAGGGTTTCCTGTTTCCTTGAGCAGGGGGTTGGACTAGAAGACCTCCAAGATCCCCTCCAACTCTGTTATTCTATTATATTCTGTAACTGAGTGAGCTTATATAGGAAAGAGGGTGAGAACATGGCAGTGAAATACTAGGCATTTAGCAGCCCCCAGAACAGATTCTACAAGCAGTAGAACAAAGGATCAGCAGAAGATGCCCTATTGGGTTTTTTAAAACTCATCTTTACTTTTCTCTCTTAAACAAGATATTCCAAAATTGTTTACCACCTCCATATGATAACTGACACGTCTCCTTTTGGCTGACAATCTGTCCCAAGCCTTCTGCCTTACACTAGCTATGCTAGCAGTGGTTGTGATAAAAGCAAATACTTAATAAAAATAGAGGAGAGAAATAAATCAAATCTAAAGAGTCTAAATGACAAAGGAGAAAGGAAATGATCTCCCTTCCAAATATCTACTGGGGTTCACATTCTTGGACCATGTTTCCTTTCAAAGGATCTTTCTGCCGTTGGATTAGTGAAGGAGATACCGATACAATGGAAAACTACAGAAAAAAAATTAAGATACAAGTAATCCTCCACTCATGACCACAGCTGAGGCCCCAAATGTATGTTGTTAAGTGAGAAACTTGTTAAGTGAGTTTGGCTCCATTTTATTACTTATCTTGGCACATTTGTTAAGTGAAACACTGCACTTGTTACATTAGCAACACCGTCGTTAAGTGAAATGCAGGTTTCCCATTGATTTTGCTTGTCGGAAGGTTGCAAAAGGCAACCACATGCCCCCGGGACACTGCAACTATCTGTCATGCCCCTGTTGGAGTCTGACTCTGAGGGAGAGGAGGATCAGCCGACAGGGAATGGAAGTGTGGCTCCGGAGGTTGTGAAGGAGGCTGGGCAGTCAGAGGAAGACCCAGGCCCATCCCCTCTCCATCCTAGGGAATGCAGGGAGGAGTGGATAAGGGAGAGACATGAATAGCATGGTCTACGGGGGAGGAAAGGGCCTTGATCCTCTTCATGGTCTGCAGCTGTGAGAACTGGTTAAAAGGACAGACATGCATATGGGCCAGTGCTGGAAACAAAGTGTGGAAATATCTCTAGTCTGTTGTTCCTCTCTGAGTTTGGCGTCCTTCCCAGTGTGTGTGTTCCAATATCTGTGGACATCTTCAAGTCCTTATCTTGCCTGGTTCCCTTAACTGTTTCAGTGTGGTTTGTGTTGTTTTTACTCTTTATAATTTATAGGCATTTTTAGTTTAAACGGCATTTCCTCCTTTTCGTAACTGCTTGTGGGGGAGTTTTTTGTCTCCAGTCAAGGATATTTGGAGCTTTGAAGCAAAGTGAAGGAATAAAAGGGGCTTCACCTGGTTTTGTGACTGTGTTTATTTTGTGTCCCACCTTGGATCATCACACCATCATAAATATGATTCAATTGCCAAGCTTCTGAGTTTTATTCAGGTGACCATGGCGATGCTGCAATGGTCATAAGTGAGAAAAATGATCACGGACAAGAGATGACGGATAGAAAGGAAATATTCCTTTTTTCTAAAAACTAGAATAGAGGTAGAAATACGAGTACACGCTTTTATATAAAGCAACAACTAGATGGAAAGATTAAAGGTTGAAAGATGGTATTATTATGCATGTTTAAACAATATCGTGATTGGCACTAGAATGGTGTATTGAAACATTGAATAACTAAATAATGAAGGACTATATCTTAATATAAACACCTGTGTCAACACTAGGATTAGCTCTGGTGGCCTGACTAGAAGCTAGAATAGAGGTAGAAATAAGGGGAATATTAGTACGCATATTTTTTATATAATAGAATAAAAGCAATAACTAGCTGGAAAGATTAGAGGTTGAAAGATGGCATTATTATGTATGCTCAAATAATATTGTGATTGGCATTAAAATGAAACAATGAAATATTGAATAACCGCTTTAAAAGAAACATGTATATTAATACTAGGGTTATGTAAGTTTGACTAATGTAAGAAATATTATTAATATTATTATTGCTACTTGTATTGAAATGAACGATACCCAGATGCCACACTGTTCTTGTACTGATGTTGATGTATATTTAAAAATAAAAACCCCACAAAACGGGAGGAGGGGAGAGAGAAAGAAAAATGACCACAAATCAATTTTTTTTCAGTGCCATTATAACTTCTAACAGTCACTAAGCAAATGGTTGTAAGTCAAGGACTACCTGTAGTGTTTTTGCTTCACCCCTAATTTGCATAACATCAGTGACATAACTGAGCATAGGAAGAAAGTTCTGCGTCTCCTCTGCTACTAGACGTAGCAAAATAACAATTGGTAGGATACATATATATGGATTTGGTTGGCAAAAATAGGAAACTTACATAATGGAAAGGAAGCATAATAGCCAGTATGATCCCACTGAACAGCAGCACCATCAGCATCACAAAAAGCACCCCCTGGCAAGACGTAAAGTCATACTGTGGGAGAAAACAAGAGGACATTAGTGTAAGATGCATGGATTAACTTGAAAGTCCCCCTAGCTCCTGGACAGCCTAAGTCAGTGGCCTCCAATCTTTGGGGCACCAGAGACCAGTTTCATGGAGTGAAGTTTTTCCACAGATCGGAGGAGATGTGGTTTCATGTATTGCCTGCATCTCAGGAATGTGGCTTCATTCTTATTTGTGTGTTCTGGTTTCTGACATATCATGGACCGGGGAATTGGGGATCCCTGGCCTAAGTAATGCCCACATCTGCCTTTCCCAACTTAATATTTATCAGATGCATTGAATCTGCCATCTTAGAGCATTAATGAAGTTGATATCCAATGAATCTTCAAGTCACAAGATTTAGGGGGGCTCCCATAAATAAATAAAAGCCCAAATATTTGCTACTTTGTTTAGCAGCCATATAGCCTATACTACGTGTTCTCTGAACTTAATGTATATTATATATTGTATATTCCCTTTTATGTTATCTATAAACCACAACCATACCAATACAATACCAATCATAGGGGCAGAATCATAAATAGAGATCAGATCAAGAATAGATGTCCACAGAGCATAAACTCAGTCCTTCCAAACAATAGTAAATGTTTGACTTGCCATGTGGAAAGGGCAAAAGACTCTTTCAAATGATTCTACTATATTTTTATTTTCTTGCTGTTCCTGCCTGATAAAGTCCTTCTGAATGAGTGATGATATAGAGTGGGTTTTTAAAAAAAAAAAAAACTCATCATACTGTTTGAAAAGATCTTAAAAAGCATTTCCCACCACCCCCATCTAAAAAGTTGCCAATTAACTTCATTCCCAGTGGGAGAAAATTCATTTTAACTTTTTTGGTTGGCAATTCTTGAGCCAATTCTCATATTTGGACAGGGAGAGGAGAGAGAGGCAAGAACATTCCATGGAAAAGTTGCTTTTCAAGGCCACCATTATCTACATGACAGGAGAAGCTGTGCAAGTTTGCTCAATGATGTAAATTATAAAGCAGGGTTTTTAAATCTCAGAAACTTTAAAATGGGTGGATTTCACCTCCTAGAATCCTCAACATATCCTAAAGCTGTTAAGATTGAGAAACACGGCTCTAGAGTAATCACAAAATGTTTGCCTGCTAACTTTAACAAAGAAAAAACTTCTCTGTTTACTTAGGAGATGGTAAAATCAGGGAACTATAGTATAAATGCATTTATGCACCTTGGTCTGGAAGCTAAATATGGTGACGGAAAGGCAAACCAAAGCTGTAATCCCCAGGCAGAGAAGGACAGAGGTGGTGTTGTAGTAGCTGCAAAAGGAATAATGACATGACAACGTTGAGAAGAGTCAAGCAGTCAACATCAGACATATCAGAAGACAATCTGCTAAAAATTTATAAATTTGTCTAATGATCCATCAAATGCTAATTTGTTGTTAATCAAATGGCCAATCTTTATCTTTAGCATCATAGAAAACCATCTGTGGGACTTTTTTTTCTAATTGACCACCAATTAATCCCAGCAAGAAAAGTTCTGGTTTCAGCTGATTGACCTTGAACATTCCTTGTATGTTAAGTGTATTTTTTACAAGCCCACCAGACATGATAAAATGATCTATCATGTTGTGCACATAATAAATTTAAAGTATCTTTATGCAGTAGGATCCTAGATGCTCTCTGAGCTTGGTGGCTTTCTTGTGGAAACCTTCATTACCAAACTAGTTAACATCACGATGAAGTTACCTATTGCTAATGAAACACCTGCAAGAAAACCACCAAGCTCAGAGAGCACCAAGGACGCCACAGTTTAACCCTAGCCTACAAATATTGTGTTTTATCAGCACTTTGAAACATTCTAAGACAATTTTTCTGCAGTCATATACCAAGGGTGTGTCATTTTGTAACAAATCTCTTTAAATTTTTAACAATTTTTACATATTTAAAATTTAATTTAAAACATATTTTTCCCACTGTTCCATCAGTATATTATATCCAAAGTTCTTAGACCTAGAACTTTAATAGAATTTGCCCTTAGAAAAATACGCTCAGTATTTTGAGTGTCCCAATTTATATTAGCTTTTGTATTCTTTTGCAAAATCTTGCTGAACAGTAGGGGAAAGGTAATGGTTATTGCCCTGGTCAGTTGTCCAGGATGCTTGAGTGACAGCTTTGTTTATCTGCTCTTCACATTTGCTCTCCCTATGCTATTGGTTCGCCTTTGATAAATACCGAACAATGGAAATCCATCATGTTGTTCTACATGGGATTGTTACGGCAGCAACAAAGGGAGGATTATAAAAGATCCAAACCAGAGACAGACTGAAAAAGAAGATTCTTTCCAGCATCTTCCCCCTCTCCCCACTTCAATCTTTTCATTTCTGGGCAGAATTAGAGCTACTGTACAGCAGTTAGAATAATAGAATAGAATAATAACTTTATTGTCACTTTGAGTGTACACTGATCAGCATACATTAAAATGAAATTTCATTGCATGCAGCTCTCAAAGGGTCACTACCTCCAATATACACTACATGAACATGACAAAATAAATAAATAAATACAAAATTATGTATATACCCTCTTATATTATGTGTCTCAAAGAAACAATACAGTCTAGTTTAGATGTATACATGTACATGGTGAGAAAAACGAATCTTGTGAGTTTACCAGATGGATGGCATAGGGAAACAAAGCTGTTACAGAATCTGGTAGTCCCACTATAAATACTTCGAAACCTCCTCCCAGAGGGGAGCAACAGAAACAGACTGTGAAGCGGGTGCGTGGGGTTTCTAACAATGCTTTGAGCTCTAAGCTCATAGCACTTATACATGGTATCCTGAATAACAATATAGTATAGTATAGTATAGTGCCCAACTCTCTTGGAAAAAGTTGGGTAATTATAAGCAACTGATTATTGGCTATTGAGCTACAATTGGAGAACTGGAGAATAATGGAAACTTGGAAAGCCTAGAAATTGAAATCAAATTATATACTTGATATAGATTTTCAGAAGTAATGATTGCAGAAAAATGCAGAATGCCAGGGAAAAAAATATAATCATGCAGACACACACACACACACACACAAATACACAGCATGTTATTCAGATACCTAGTATGGGCATTTACCTGGAGATCATTCCTGTCAGGTAAGCCATGGACAGAGTCTATAAAAAATAAAAATCTTTAGTTACTGCAAAAGCAAAGGCTGGAGGCTAAGAAGGAAAAAAGATGTAAAGCTGTTTAAGGATATCATTCTTTGAGGCTGTCCAAGACAACTGAGCTGAAAGACCACATTCTATAGTCTACCATATTTTATTTATTTTATTTATTAATTTTGTTGAGCACGTATCAGATAACAGATATAGGTATAAATATGATTATTGATAAATGAAATGGATACGAATAAAAGAAGACACTAAGGCAGGGACGGTAGACATGTTGGTGCGCTTATGCACCTCCCTTAAAGACCTCTTAGGAATGGGGTGAGCAATATACAGTCTAAGGTTAAAGTGGTTGCAGTTAGTGGAAGAAACCACAGAGTATTCCAGGCATTGACCACTCTGTTGCTGAAGTTGTATTTCCTGCAATCGAGTTTGGTGCAATTTACCTTGAGTTTGTATCAATTGTGCGCTCGTGTATTGTTGTAATTAAAGTTGAAATAGTCATTGGTGGGTAGGACATTGCAATAGATAATTTTATGTACTACACTTAGGTCAGACCTAAGGCGGCGTAGTTCTAAGTTGTCTAAGCTAAAATTTCAAGTCTGGTGGCATAAGGTATTCTGTTACAAGTAGAGGAGTGGAGGACTCTTCTCGTGAAATATCTCTGGAATCTCTTGATTGTGTTAATGTCGTATATGCAATGCAGGTTCCAGACAGATGAGCTGTATTCAAGAATTGGTCTAACAAATGTTTTGTATGCTCTAGTTAGTAATACAATATTAGTGGAGAAAAAGCTATGCAGGATTAGGTTAACAACTCTTAATGCCTTTTTGGCTATGTTGTTACAGTGAGCTCTAGCACTTAGATCATTAGAGATGAGTACTCCAAGGTCCTTGACAGAGTGGGGGTTATCTACAAGGTCATGTCCATTCAGCTTGTATTTTATTTTCTGGGATTTTTTTGCCAATATGTAAGACAGAGCATTTGTTTGTTGAGATTTGAAGTTGCCATTTGTTTGACCATTCCATAACCATCCAACCGTTTTATGGTTTATCTCATGGTAGAAAAATAAGGAAGAGAATAAGTGAGGGTTTAGGCAAAGAAGGAGTCCTTCTAAGAAGCAATCGTGTTGAATTGTGTTGAGCCATGAGTTGTGATTCACTAGATAATTGTGCAAGTTAATGAAGGTGTTACACAGACTATTCAGACTGAACAGCTACCTACAGGCCAGGTTCATAGGCTGAAACTCCTACTATTCATGTTAATTGATTGATGTGCTTGGTTTATTTACTGCACCAATGAGGAGCCGGAATCTTTAGGAGTTGACAATCTATCCCTTATTGATCTACTGGATGCATGCCACCGATAGTGCATGCCATAATTACTTGTGGTTGGAAATAGATGAGTGATAAACCTTTTTGCCTTTTAAATTTACAGATTAAATTGGGGGAAGTGTGCTATAAAAGTTCCCTAGGGCCAAGCAACCGTTCTAGCACTGAATACTAGGCTACTTACAAAGATGCTGAGGAGGATCAGGTTCCATGGGAAATACCTCCTGTGAATTAAATGAAAGGGAGCCAAGTGAACCAGGTTATCCAAAGTGCATCATGGTGAAAAGAAAGTTGTACATCATTAACTTGCATAATAAGATCATTAAAGAACAACAGAGCAATTAAGGCAATCAGGCCACAGCATGTACAAGTTTCCAAGAATTCTGGTTGCACAAAAGGGCCTGATATCAAGGCACCGGATTCATTTGAATTATGGCTAAGCCTAAAAGTACAGGAGCTACTGAGTGAAACATTTTTATGGCATGAAAATTAACTCTCCTTTCGCCTTCTAATGGCTGTGGATCATGGAGCTCGGCAGCTATTAAAGAGGCAGCTAGAATGGATTAAATAGCTAGCCAGCCTAATTTGGATCAAGTATTAGCCAAGATATGACTGCATTGAGATACATCAGTCCTTTCAAGCAAAGTAACCAGGTGAATGAGAACTTTTCCTTTCCTCTCTAAGCCGATGTATAACATATAATACATGTAATAAACAGTAGACATATACAGTCAACAACTTCCCCCATCATAAAATGCCACTAGAATATAGGAGATGCCTTTTGATGCAACTGAAAGATAGAATCTGAGCTAGTCATGTTCATTATGGCTGTTTTGCTTTTTTTTCTCTCTCTCTCTCTCTCCAGGATTTTTCCTTTTTCATACCCTTTTCCCTTTCGCAGAGTATTTCTCTGTAGGTATTAGAACAAACTCCGGAGTATGAACCATACAGAATTGAGAATTTTATCACAGAAAAAAGTAATGACTTAGTTAAATGTTTTAATAATTAAAAAGATGGGAGCATTTCTTCACTGGACATGAATGGATACAATGTGCATTTCGAAAAGAGCATTGATGGCTGGTGGCTAACTATGCATTGGATGCATTCAACTGCTGCTCTGTGGATTTGGGATAAACCAATGGAATGTTTCTGATTCAACCCCCTCCCAAGCCCCCAACCCCAAAGGCAGATGACTGAGTCTATGGTTAACAGGCTAAGGAGAGCTTGTGCAAAGAAAAAAAGTGCATCTTTTTTGAAAACTGATGCCCATCATCTTCTAGGGGAGATGGGTGACATAAACATTTAATAAATGAACAAATAAAATCTCAGGACTCATTTGTATATATTCTTGTACTTCCCATTATACTCAACAGGTTCATCTGTAAGCAAACACAACTCATTCACAATAATTCTAATCCCCAGAAGGAAGCAAATCCATAAAAAATTGGTGGCCATATTTGGTTCTTTAGACCGGCCAAGAAGACTAGCTGAAAGGCATGTTAGAATATCCACTCTTCCACCATTGGTCTCTTCCCCAAACAGAATTAACCCACCACAAATGGTCCCAACCCCTTGTGTAATTTTACCTTGGTCCAGAGCAGCAGGCAAGGATCAAATAGGTGATAAAGAATACAGCACTAGGAGGAGAAAAGAGAGAGAGAGAGAGAAAGAATGAACCAACATGAGGAGAGAGAATCCTGCCTGCTGTTGCTCTGAACTTTAAGTATTTTTCTTTTTTTCTATCTTAGATCATCATTGGTTAACAAATTCTGAAGAAAAAGCACTATATAAATACCAGACATAATAACTTCTTGTATGATCAGGGCCTTGATGAGGCAAAGGGGCTTGTGTGGGTAAGTGTGGACTATGTCTATGTCCAGAAGGTCTCTCAAGGTGAACAGGCCATGATGGATACCCCAGACCAGGGGTCAGCAACCTTAAACACTCAAAGAGCCATTTGGACCTGTTTCCCGTAGAAAAGAAAAAACAAACAAAACTCTTCCCATGCCTGACTATTTCCTGAGTGGCCACAAAACTTGCATGTATAGTTGAATTAAAGATTCTGTTTTCTTCTGAAACTTTTCTTTTCTTGGATTTATCCATGGTTGACCTACAAGGGGTCGAAAAGCTCAATAAATTGCAGGTGGTGGGTATCGCACATTGGCAGTTGTGACACGTATTTTGAGAAATGGAGCCGCAACAGAGGGATGAAAGAGCCACATGTGGCTCCAGAGCCGCAGGTGGCTTACCCCTACCCCAGACTAACACCAATCATATCTGCCAACCTGCATTGGACCAGCATGGCAGATTATGGTCTATTTCTTCCACAGGGCAATACAATCTCAAAAACGGCCCCTCTCTCAGGACTGTATTGGTTGGAAACGTGTGGAAGAGGCATTCATCCTGCACTGGATAGACAATGGCTAAAATGATGAATGATTTCTTCTACACTAAAAGGCAAGTATAAATTATAACATTTTTACCACAACCTACTGTGACTGGTAGAACAAAACACAATAAAACAGATTCCAAGTTGAAAAATGTAGATACAAAAAAGGGAGAAGGCTCATAAATAGGGTAATGTCACCAAGATCAAGACGTTCCCCACTCCCTAACATTGTCCTTAAACACTTCTCTGTGCTTTCTCTCATAAAATTAAGTAAGCAGAGGCTTTCAGCTTCTTATCCAACAATGGTTTTCTACCAAATCAGATGTTTTGTTCACCTAGCCCAGTTGCAGTCCTGATACAAATTCTATGAAGGAGGAAGGAAGCAGTATCTTTCTGTGTCTCAAATTATACAAGCCCTTCCCAACATCCATATGTTGCCTTTTATTACAATGTTGTCTTCTACTGCTGTGAACATTATGGTACTTTTTCTATAGTAATGAAGATAGACATTTGAAGAGCAGGTCTGAAAATACAACCTGTGCAAAGTCTGATCCTTGTGTGATAGTAGAGGAGAAAATAACAATGTTCCTTTTATTCTAGTTTATGCACTCCAAGCCAGTCCTGCAATTTTGATCAGCATTCTTCCACAATACTTGGATATTAGGGCAGCACAATTCTTTGGAAAGAAATACTTTGGAACCTGCCAAAGCAGATTTTTCAAATGTAGAACAATTTAGCAATTTAGCAGTGCTTTGGGAAGCTGTTCCCAGTATCTCCCACACATGTGACCACACAGCTGTGAGAAAATGCTGTGAGGCTCTATATTCAACATAACATAAATAGCCAGGATCGGCTTCCAGAGCAGCTGCACAAGGCAGACAAAAGATATGGCTGTTTTCATGAGTTGAAAAGCTCTATCTATCTATCTATCTATCTATCTATCTATCTATCTATCTATCATCACTCTGTGTATCATCTAACTATATATCTGCCTGCCTGCCTGCCTACTCTATCTGTCTGTCTGCCTATCATCTATCATCTGCAGTATGTATCTTTATTTCTCTATATTTATATTTCTCTACATACAAAGATATTATCGATCTAAAGAAAATTAGCCTTCCACCGGATGGCTAATGTGGCATACATTTTCCAAGTCCTTTAAGTTTTATGTTGAAATCCAGACCCCATCTCAGGGTGGAAACTAGATATGTCTGACCTCCAATTCAATTCTAACAGGTCATCTATGCACTGTAGCCAACTAGCGGAATGCAAAGGAGATTTATTAAGGACTCAAGGCTTCTGATTCAAAAGAGAATGGGAGGTTAAGGCTAACCCTTGCTCCCTAAGCATTCCACCAGTATTTTTCCACGAGATAAAGTTTAATAGAATGTAACCTTAAACTGCTCCCCAGACAGTCAACATCTGCTTGGTAAAGAAGAAATCGGCTTGTTAATATGAAGGCAAGTTTCAGGTTACATTTGCAATAGTCAGGTGGTATGCCATTAGATTGAAGAAGCAATGCAATTATGAAAAGTTGGCACTCGGTGAAGAGGACAAAAGTACTGCACCTTAAATAGTTATGCAGGACACAAAAATTCAGCAAGCCTCTTGTCACGCAAGCTAGTCTTGCTGTATTTTTTTTTCTTTTGCATCCAGTAACCTAGGTTTTTAGTGTTCTATGCCATCCCACCATGTACTTCTCTTGAGTGTTTAATTGACTCCCTCACCCTAACCCCAACACTTATCCAGAGAAGAATGAAATATGATTGGGTCTTGGAAAGTGGAGAGAAAACCTCAATTGGGTATAGTGGTGAAGGTCTTAGAAATCAGGAGAGCTCTGAATTCGAGTCCTGCCTTTGGCATGAAAGCTGACTCGGCGACTGTGAGCAGTCTTTCCCTCCCCCCCCTCTCTCTCTCTGCCTACCCCACCTCACAGGGTTTCAGTCAGACAACAGAGCTGGAAGGGACGTTAGAGATCTTCTAGTCCAGCCCCCTGCTCAAGCAGGAGACCCTAGACAATTTGAGACAGGTGGCTGTCCAGACAAGTGGCTGTCGTAAGGGTGATTGTTGTGGAAAAAATAGTAGGAGGAGGGCATATTAGGTATGTTTGCCATCTTGCAATAAAGTAATAAAGGCAGGATTTTAAAAGCACCAAAGAAATAAGTCTTTGCATATAGATATAAAGATGCTTACCTGCCTAAATTCTCTCTTCAAGGCCACTATTCATACTTAAAAAAAAAAGTATCCGTCTTCTATTGCTACTTGTTATGTCCTGAGGACTCAAGGAGTTCTCACTCAGGTCCACTCACT